TTGTTAGTTGTTTGCTGGGTGTTGTTTGTTGTTTGTTGTTTGTTGTTTGTTGTTTGTTGTTTGTTGCTGTTGCTGTTGCTGTTGCTGCTGCTGCTGCTGTTGTTGGCGGTGGTGGTGGTGGTGATGTTGTTGTTGTTGCTGTTGTTTCGTTTGTTGTGTACGCTGTGTTTGTTGCGTGTGTTGTGTTTGTTGTGTTAGTCGTGCGCGTGTGTGTGTGTGTGTTGTGTTTGTTGTTTACCCTTGTGCGTTCGCATTAGCAACAGTTAGACCCAATTGTTCTGCTTGCGCCGCCTTAAGTTGTTGATTTTTCCAGAAGATGAACGGGCCCGATCATGGCTTGCAGTGATACCCTTTGTCAATATCAATCATTGACGAACAGGCTCCGAAATTGCCCTCCCCATTCCCTCAAAATTCCTTCACAAGTCCCTCACAATTCCCTCAGAACTCCCTCAACAATTCCCTCGGAATTCCAAAAAATCACCGCGAGGCCTTTTTCGAAATCCCATCAAAATTCCCTCCACGTTCACCTCAATCACATTTCCTTCAAAATCCCAGCGCGTTCCCCTCAAAAATCCAGTACACTTCCCTCACAATCCCAACAACATTCCATCAAAATTCCATCAAAACCCCAGCAACATCCCATCAACATACATTCAAACACCTCAGCATTCCTGCAAATGTCCTTCATAATTGCCGCGCAATTCCCACACAAGTCCTGCAACATCCTCTCAAAATCACCTCAATTTCCCTTTGAACTTCCGGCAAGATTCCCGCCCAATTCCCTGAAATCCCTAAACATTCCATCAAGATTCCCTCAAAATTAAAAACTGTTTGGCGAGTTTATCTCAAAGTGCCTCAACGTGCTGAGCTTGTTGACTGTGTGGGCCCAAAGCTGCTTAACAAAGTTATATCCGAGTGTCCAAAAAGTCTCAACTCATTCTTGGTATGCCCCCGCCAATTTTTAACAAATTTACCTCAAAGAGTCTCACAACTTTCAGCTTGTTCACAGTCTATGCCCGCCACTTTTCGGGAAAGCCATCTCCAAATCCCTCAACTCACTTCATGTCACATGCATATTTGAGATAATTTGAGATAATTTGAGATAATTTGAGATAATTTGAGATAATTTGAGATACTTTGAGATAATTTGAGATCATTTGAGATAATTTGAGATAATTTGAGATAATTTGTGATAATTTGAGATAATTTGAGATAGAGTCTGGGGTGAGTGTTTTGAGATAGTTTGAGATAATTTGAGATAATTTGAGATATTTTGAGATAATTTGAGATAATTTGTGATAATTTGAGATAGAGTCTGGGGTGAGTGTTTTGAGATAATTTGAGATAATTTGAGATCATTTGAGATAATTTGGGACAATTTGAGATAATTTGAAACAATTTGAGATACAGTCTGGGTGAGTGTTTTGAGATAATTTGAGATAATTTGAGATAATTTGAGATAGAGTCTGGGTGGGTGTTTTCAAATAATTTGAGATTTTTTGAAATACTTTGAGATAGAGTCTGGGTGAGTGTTTTGAGATAATTTGACATAATTTGAGATAATTTGAGATAGAGTCTGGGTGAGTGTTTTGAGATAACTTGCGATAATTTGCGTTAATTTGAGAGAATTTGAGATAATTTGGGATACTTTGATACACTTTGTGACGTGGAACAACTGGGCGGGCTCGTTTAAAATTTCGTGGGGCCTCGGAAGCCTCAAACGAGCCCACCCTTCAAACCTCGTCGGCAAGGGTTCAAAGGCTTGTTGGGTTTGGGAGAGATGCTTTGAGGTAGAGTTCAGGGTGAACGTTTGAGATAACCTGTATTGAGATGAAACGAGATAACTTGAGATAGGGCTTGAAGCGAGCGTCTAACATCGATTGAGATAAACACATGTGCCTTGAAATAACTTGAGGTCGTTGTTCATTCTAGCGCGTACGCGTGAGGCTCGAAAGAGACCGCCCAAAAATGGCCGAACCCCCCCCCAAGCCGCGCGTGTGCCCATGCACTACTGTTGTTGGTTGTTGGTATTTCAGTGTTTGTTGTTTGTTTTTGTTTTGTTGTTCGTTGTGTGTTGTTTGGAGGTTGTTGTTTGTTGTTTTTTTTTTGGTGTTTGTTGTTTGTTTGTTTGTTTGTTTGTTTATTGGTTCGTTTGTCTTGTTGTTTTTGTGGCGGTGGTGTAATTTTGTTGCAGTTGTAGTTGTAGTTGTCGTTGTAGTTGCAGTTGTAGTTGTCGTTGTAGTTGCAGTTGTAGTTGCAGTTGCAGTTGTAGTTTTAGTTGTAGCGGGGATTCCACTTGTAGTTGCAGTTGTAGTTGTAGTTGTAGCTGCGGTTGTAGTTGTAGTTGCAGTTGTAGTTGTAGTTGCAGCAGCAGCAGCAAAAGCAACAGCAACAAACAACATCAATCAACTAACAACAAACGACAAACAACAGACAACAATCAGCACCCAGCAAACAACTAACAACACGCAAAAACAACAACTATTACCACTACAACAACAACTGCACCTACAACAGCAACCGCCGCTACAACTACAACTGCGACTACAACTACAGTTGCAAGCGCAACTACAAGAAACGACGACTACAACTACGATTGCGACTGCAACTATAACTACAACTACAACTACAACTGCTGCTGTTGTTGTTGGTGGTGGTGGCGGTGTTGTTGTTGCTGTTGCTGTTGTTGCGTTTGTTGTGTGTGTTGTGTTTGTTGTGTTTGTTGCGTTTGTTGTGGTAGTCGTGTGTGTGTTGCGTTTGTTGTTTGTTGTTCGTTGTTTGCTGTTTGTTGTTTGCTGTTTGTTGTTTGTTGTTTGTTTTGTGTTGTTTGTTGTTAGTTGTTTGTTGTTTGTTGTTTGTGTTGTTTGCGTTGTTTGTCAAAACATACTGCACGGCACTCCTACACACACATGTGAAAACAACAACAAATGCAAAACCAAATGCCAAAAAAAGCAAGTTGCCTTCAACCTCGCCTACATCCTCGAGATAATCGAGAACGGTATTCCTGAACACACACACACACATGTCAAAAAAAACAACAAAAATGCAAAACCAAATTTCAATAATGCAAGTTGCTTTCAACCTGACCTACCTCTTCGAGATAATTCGAGATAATTCGAGATAATTCGAGATAGCCAAAAACCCCCCAAATCTAGACCCCATGAATCTAGACCCGATAAATTGGTTAGGGACTCTAGCTGGAGAATCGCAACTTTGAAGTACAAGGCTAGTGCGCGAAGTGTGCAGGTTTCCAGCACTAGCTGGAAAGTCACAACTTTGTAGCGCAAGTATAGCACGTGAAGTACAAGTTTCCAGCTCTGGCTGGAAGATCGCAACTTTGAAGTGCAAGTATAGTGCGCGAAGTCCAGGTTTTGAGCTCCAGCTGGAGAATCGCAAGTTTGTAGTACCAGTCTAGCACGCAAAGTGCAGGCTTTCAGCTCTAGCTGGACAATCGCAGCTGTGTAGCGCAAGTCTAGTGCGCGAAATACCAGCTCCGGCTGGAAAATCGCAACTTTGTAGCACAAGTCTAGCGCGCGAAGCGCAGGTGTCCAGCTCCAGATTGAAAACCGTAGCTTCGTAGCAAAAAGCAGAGCTCGCAACGTGTAGTTTTACAAGCTGAAAAACATAGTTTGCGCAGTAGGCTTCATTGCAAGCCCCATTAACGTGTACCGAAAAATGTTCTCTCTAAATATTTTCTTGGGTTTGCGCAAAGTGATGTGCGTTCGGATTCGTGGGCTCTGTCTTGTTTTTTTCTCTCTTCTTCTTCTTTTTTAAGAATTTTTTGACGTGCAGTTTTGCTATCTCTCCAATCAAAGCGTTTGTCGCTTTCCGATGTTTTGGCTTGGACTTGAGGCAACTCGGTGGTCCGATCCCTGGAAGCTGGCGGGGCGTGCCCGGCGCTGATTCCGTCCGAGATCGTGCTCGGCACGGGAACTCTCGCCGAGCTCGGATTCGGATGATTTGGATATGTGTTTGGATTTTTCTGGTTTTCGGAAATTTGGATTGCTTTCGAATTATTGCAAAACGGCGCGTCACGTTGGAAGCCATCTCTTTCGCAATCTCTTGCAAACTCCCTTTGTATAGCCATCTTGCTCCGTAATCTCTGTGCGAACGCTCTATCAAACTGCAGCACTTCACTGTGGAATATCTCTGCACCGTCCCTGGGTGACATACGCTGTGCAATCTCTTGGTGACATGCCCTTGTGCTTGCTTCGGAATAACATTGAATTCATGACTCCGATCGACATGTGCTGTCAATGGCTCTGTTCGCCTCTCAAAGAACGCCATCTTGACAATTGCATTGCACGGAAGTTCTTCGACTCCTGGCCTTCCCGGTGACACGGCAGGAGCATCGCAGGGCTGTCGCTGTGCTCCTGCGCGACTTCATTGAGGAGGAGTCGGTCTTTCGGTCAAGCGCACAGTCTTTACCAGGGCAGCCTGACTTGTTGATGTTAATTGCGACAAGAACGCGCTGAATTGTTGGCTTTTCAGAAGGCTGGCTCTGAACCAAAGAAGGGGCATTCATGTCAGGAACCAGCTGCTGATTGCTATAGCAGCGGGCGACACAGCATGTTCAGGACAGTCCAACAACCGCATGCGAAGGCATGGCAAGGCCTCCAAATTTCCTCCAGGCGTCAAGACCACAGTCTCAAGACAGTCTCGCAAGCGGACATCAGGGAGGAAAGACTCGGAAGGAAGACTCCCAAGCCGTGTTTCTCAAGCCTCGGTCCCCGACTGCAGCTGCAGTGCCTGTTATTCCAAGCACTGGTTTTGCACTTGAGTTTGACAACGGCCAGGGGGAACACACTCAGTGGCAAGTTGCACCATCCTGGCGCTCTTTCAAGTGCATTCCATCGGAAAGGTGGCTTTCAAAAATTGATCAAGAAGCGCAACTTCCCACCCTCTGAGCTGGTTGTGTGATTCGCCTTCAGGACGGCGCGGCCGAGTGCGGTGACCTTGCAGCTGCGCGAGGCCATCGCCGACCGGCTGGAGCGCGCCTTGCCCGGGTGCCGAGAGCGAGAGTGGCACCAGCTTCGGGCTGTTGGAATTCGGAAAGATTCGGAAAGGAACTTGAGCTTTGGGAAAGATTCCAAAGTCTTCTCTTCAGTCGATAGCCTATAGCCTTCGATAGCCTTCGGTAGCCTTCGCTAGCCTTCGATAGCCTTCGGTAGCCTTCGCTAGCCTTCGATAGCCTTCGAAAGCGATAGCCTTCGCTAGCCTTCGATAGCCTTCGAAAGCGATAGCCTTCGATAGCAATCGATAGCCTTCGCTAGCCTTCAATAGCCTTCGATAGCCTTCGATAGCCTTCGATAGCCTTCGCTAGCCTTCGCTAGCCTTCGATAGCCTTCGATAGCCTTCGATAGCCAATTCGATAGCCTTTGATAGTCGATCGCCTTCGATCGCCTTCGCTAGCCTTCGATAGCCTTCGATAGCCTTCGATAGCCTTCGATAGCCTTCGATAGCCTTCGCTAGCGCCTTTGATAGCCTTCGATAGCCTTCGATAGCCTTCGATAGCCTTCGAAAGCCTTTGCTAGCCTTCGATAGCCTTCGCTAGCCTTCGCTAGCCTTCGCTAGGCTAGCCTTTGATAGCCTTCGATAGCCTTCGATAGCCTTCGAAAGCCTTCGCTAGCCTTCGCTAGCCTTCGATAGCCTTCGATAGCCTTCTCGATAGCCTTCTCGATAGCCTTCGCTAGCCTTCGATAGCCTTCGCTAGCCTTCGATAGCCTTCGATGGCGCGATCGCTAGCCTTCGATAGCTTTCGCTAGCCTTCGTACTAGCCTTCGCTAGCCTTCGAAATCTTCGAAACGATAGCCTTCGCTAGCCTAGCTTCGATAGCCTTCGATAGCCTTCGATAGCTTTCGATAGCCTTCGATAGCCTTCGCTAGCCTTCGCTAGCCCTTCGATCGATAGCCTTCGATAGCTATAGCCTTCGATAGCCTTCGCTAGCCTTCGATAGCCTTCGGTAGCCTTCAATAGCCTTCGATAGCCTTCGATAGCCTTCGATCGCCTTCGCTAGCCTTAAGTTCGCTAGCGCCTTCGCTAGCGCCTTCGATAGCCTTCGATAGCGATAGCCTTTGATAGCCTTCGATAGCCTTCGCTAGCCTTCGATAGCCTTCGATAGCGCTAGCTAGCCTTCGATAGGCGCTAGCCTTCGCGAGCTTCGATATATAGCCTTCGCTAGCCTTCGATAGCCTTCCGATAGCCTTCGATAGCCTTCGATAGCCTTCGATAGCCTTCGATAGCCTTGGCTAGCCTTCGCTAGCCTAAAGCTTCGCTAGCCTTCGCTAGCCTTCGATAGCCTTCGATAGCCTTCGATAGCCTTCGCTAGCCTTCGATAGCCTTCGATAGCCTTCGATAGCCTTCGATCGCCTTCGATAGCCTTCGCTAGCCTTCGATCCTAGGGGCGTGTTCGATCACATTTCAGGAGCCCATACCGTGAGCGACCATGAAACACCGGGTTGCGTGACATATGTGTTTGTCACGGCCATACGGTTTTCGCATACGTTTTCACGGCCATACGGTTTTGGCCTACGTTTTCACGGCCATACGGTTTTCACATACGTTTTCACGGCCAGACGGTTGTCGCAGCCACATATGGTTTTCACGCTTCTTGCCGCCCGCGGCGCCCGCGAGCATGTTTGTAAGCTCTGTTTGCGCAAACATACCTGAGCGCACGCAGGCGCGCACACGCACGTGCACGCACGCTCGCGCGCGCCAACAACACGCTATGCGAAAGGACTGCGCCAGCACGTTTCGCCACAATCTCCACCAGCCTGGCCTTGCCAAGCTTGAGCCAAAGTCAACAACCCTTTAGCGCCATTTCCGTTTGCAAGAGAAAAGAATAGTTTGGTTGGAAAAGGTTTCTGAGTTTCCAAAGTGACACGGAACAGCCCGTTTTCAGGGATCCCGCGGTTGCAAAGCGCTGCAGGTCTCCGAGCCTGGCGGGTCGCCTTGTGGATTTGTTTTGGATCGGCAGCAGGGAACAACCTGTCTTCAGACATTACTTCATTACGTGGTTGAGAAATGCAAGGCGGGGCAAACGGCCTGTTTGGTTTCTGCAGGGAAAAAGGAACACCCCACTTTCAAGAAGCCCTGGCTGCCAAACACCCAATCCGGGTTATCTGGAAAACAAATCATTTTAATGCCTCCCGTGGCTCGAGCAGGGATTGGGTTTGTCCACAAATCAGCTGAGCCCCTCGGAAAGAAACGCGATAGCTGTCAGTGGCGGGATCTGAACGTGGTGCGAGCTCCCTGTTTGGCAAGAAAGAAGACCACCCGTTAGCTTTGCTCACCCGGCCCGCCGCGGTGGCAATGATCCTCATCAGACTGCGCCGGAGGCCCAAGACCCGTGTTTTTTAGCCGAGCCTTGCTTTCTGGAGCGTCTTTGGCACACTGAGTAGCCAACGCTGGAGAACCCTTTTCTGGGCAGTCCGCGCATCAGTCAACCGAAGCGTTTTTCCTACCTTTTTCAAATAGTCCTCATCCTGCCAGGTTGCATACTTAGCGTGATTCACACCGCTTGGCCGCGAATTATGGACAACGTGAAACAGCATGTGGAGTTTTGGCCTAATGTGCCAAAGCACCTCCCTGTTCTCAAGAGCTTCCCCTGCTAGCCGAATCAAAGTTTGGCAGAAAACCGTGCCAATAACTTTGACTTGTTCGTGCTCCCGCTCTGACAGAAACCACCCAGACTTGTTCAGCAGGCCCACGAACACGTTGGCCGACCAAATCAAACAGAAAATCGAAGGGTAATTGGCTTGGTGGTCTGCAAGTTCATCTTGGAGCCACCGCATGCAAACATAAGCATCATAGCCCGAGGAGGCCAGGGATGGATATGTTTTTCCCTTCCAGCTCAACTTGGCCTTGGAGAACTTCCGAAGCCTCAAAGGGAGCTTGTGGCTTTTCGCCCACGCCTTCAGCTTCATTGTTGCGGCACTCATACGATCTTCAATGTTGGACCCCCTGAAAACATGTCGCTCCTTCAGGACCACTTTCAAAATTGATCCTATCACGTCTCGGGCCACGCCGAGGTTGAAGACATGTAGAAGGTCAGGCATTATCATTGACTCCTGGAAGCCTAGGAGAGAAACATAAGCAGGCACATGCTCCCACGGGGGCTGGGCATGCATCGTGCCCCAGTATGGGGCACTTTCCGTCATATCCGTAAAGAGGTAGTTCTCGTCAGATTTGCTTGCCAGGCATGCCCAGCAAATCTACAGGGGCAGGGGCGCCCGCACTTGCAGAAGCGGTTCAACGGCAAGGGTCTGGGCTGGGGAAAAATATTTTCGTTAGAGTAGCAAATCTTTCAATCTATTTCAAAAGGTTCCACCCAAGTGCGCTTTAAACAGGCGATTGTGTTATTTTGGAAATCGTGTTATTAGAGAAGGGTTTGGCTTGCAGGGCTTGACGAACATCGCCTGGTCCGTGCTGAAGTGGCGGCAGAAATTGAAGATCTGTTTGAGAGCTTTCCAATCTCCACGAAAGCCAGTGACATACCAGTGAAAGCAGGCAACCTTACTTGGTCTAAGTGCGTGTGTGTGTGTGTGTGTGTTTTTTTTTGAGGGGGGTTCTTTTTCACGACCGGAACCAACCCCAAAACGGGAACCGAGAAGCAGAAACTCACTTCAACCAAGGGGCTTCTTCGCCACCAAAGGATCGCATGTCCCGCACAGGCGTGCCATCAGTTGATAGTTTGTTGAACGACTTTGTGATTTCAGCGGCCAAAGTTTGCAATGTCAAGTTCACGTTTTGGGAGGAAAAGGCGTAGTGGGAGCAAGGCACGACGGCAATCGGCCACCTAGAAGCCATTGAGTTTGTTGCCGCGTGCGGCGGCGCCACGTCGCTTGTGAAAATCAGAAACATCCAGCTCTGCCCCATACATGTGACCTCGTCACCTTGGCCCGCTTTGAAACCCCAAACATTTGGCAGATCGCAGGGCTGAGGCCACGGCAGTAGAGGGTGCATGGCACAGCAGACTTTGGGTTGTTGGCAGCAGGGTGCCCAGGGAAATCCATCAGCAATTTGCCCCAGTGCTGCTCAAGCTTGTCCTGGTCGTCCAATAAAGCCCAAAGATAGCCTTCAGATATCATTGTGGCAACCTCAAGCCGAATCAGCTTTTTTTGGAAACCACACGTTCCGCCAAAGATGTAGGAAGCTAAGCTTGAAGCGAAATCGTGCGGGAGTAGGCATGGCCAGTCGGCAATTCGCATCGGGCAACCTTCCTCCTGAACTGGGACTTTCGCCCAGGTGATGGGGCACGGCAGCGATAGCCCGCCGCGAGCTGCGCGCTCATGAAGACCTTTCTCTTCGTTCGAACTTGGCTGAGGCACAAATAATGTGCAAATATGCTCCCTGCAAAAACTTCTAGCTAGGCCCAGGCGCATCACGAAATCACTGTCATAGACAGACCCAATGGTTCGACTGTGGCTCACAGACGAATAGCCAGCTCCAATAGAGAAAGCAATCCTAGGGCCGGGGTCTGGTGCTAGACATTTAGCCCACTATGCCCACAGGTAAATCTCAGCCAGCGGCGCTTGGTCAAGCGCCTCGCGCAGAACAGCAAGTTGATCCGGAGCACCTGCGTTGGGCAAACCAAAAGGCAAGGCGAGATGAACTGTTTTTTTGGCATCAAGTGTCAAGCTGAATCATTTTCCGCTTTTTTCACTCATTCGCTACTTGCTTGGGAGCCTGACGGCGGCTGATGTTTCAATGCCCCCGACCTATGCTCCAGTAGATTTGTAAATCAGATTCAAAAAGAGCAGCTACACGGACCTTCAGGAAAGTAGTGCAAAATGGAAGTGCGGGTTTAGCAAAAAATCCATTGCAACGTGAACATGAAGACTTCAGCTTCAGACAACCATTCCCCCTTTGCCCGAAGACCGTGGCCCCTGGACTCTCATGGAGTCCTCCCCTAAAGCTGCCACACACGCCAAGGCCGGGATCACGTGTGACTCAAGCGCTCTTGCTCTTCTTCATCTCGGCCCTGACGGCTCGGGCCTGA